GGTCTACCAAGGACCCGGCCCGCCACGACCGGGTAGTCTGGGTGCTCCGGAGGACCCGGCCTGTCGTTTTGGACACAGACAAGGTCTTTGTCTGCAATGATTAGACATGTTTTTTATTATTGTCATTAGTGATTATCTCAATTTCTGCTAAAAGAATTGACAAAATCCTACACACTGTGTCTTTAATGGAGCTCTGATTAGAACAGTGTTTCCCAACCCTGGTCCTCAAGGCACACTTCCCTGCAGGTTTTAGAAGTTTCCCTGCTTTAACACCTGATTCAAATGACTGCAGTTCAACAAAAGCCTGTTAATCAACCATCAATTGAAATCAGCTGTGTTGAAGCAGGGAAACATCTTAAAGCTGCAGGACAGTGTGTCTTGACAACCAGGGTTGAAAAACACTGGATTAGAAGGTACAAGTCTTGTTTGATAATTTCATTAACTCATATATTGAAAGACAATAAATCAATGCTTCTGAGGAATATTTCTGATTTAGTGGATGAATTTACTGGACATATCTTCTGTTTGTTGGCTTTAATTATTCTAGATTAGTGACAGTTATTCAGTGACCACAAAAAAGTGTCAATAATCTGTCATTAAAATTGGTTCTAAACCATCTTTAGACTGATACATTTTTTAATGTTTTACTGTCAGCAAATTAATTATTTTCATTTTTTTCTTAAACCATAAAACCCTGAAAATGATCATTTTGTTTACCGAACAAAGATTCAAAACCAAAACAATCCAACTTTTCTCTGTTTCTCATGAAACTTTCTGAAAATGAAGCTGTGGGCCCACTTACAGCTCTCAATCTCCAACGAACACGTCTGTGTGTCCAGAGGAAATCGACTCAGGTCCATGTTGCACATGGCTGTGACGGTGACTCTGCAGACACAAAACAACATGGTCAGCATAAAAAAAAAGGTTTGTCACGTAGCAGACAAGTTCAAAATTAAAAACAACAAAAGACAAACTGGAACGCGTGCAGCATTTCCTCCAGTTTATCAGAACCCAACTTTAGGAAACTTTTTCTGAGACAAGTCCATCATTTCTTCAAAACAAAATTCATTGATTTTTATGACGTTTCAAGATTTTTTTTGTTGTTTTTTATGAGAGAGTTTGTTGATGTCTGACACATCCACAGGTATCAGAGTTTCTGACTATATCGCCATTTTTATCATTTTGCTACGCAGGATTCTGTGATCTTTATTTTATCAATGTGATCAATATTTTCCTCAAAAACCTGTTGTATATCATGAAACCTGTATTCTGCTCTCTGGTGGATGAAAAATGTACTGCAGGAAGTGGAATTTATTATTATTATTATTATTTTGCCTTTTCAAAATGTCTGCTGACTTGAGGTCATCCACACATTTTTTTCAGGAAAACTTTTGCTAATTTTGGAGAAGTTATGGTAAGAATAACATCAATATTGCTTGTAATTTTTTAAAATAAATACTTTCTGTGTTGAAACAATGCATAATTACTTAAAAATATTTTTAATAGTACAGTTAAACTGTTAAAAATTTGTGTATCAAACTTGATACTGCAGGTGCTCCAGTCCTGAAAGTAATGTGACATTTTAGTAATTTAATCAACAGTATTTCTGCCACAATACAACACACACTATTTTGGATGATTGATTAATTACTGAAATGCCACTTGAAAACATATACTGTATTGGATATTTTCAAAGTGAATTCCTATGAAATTATAATCTCTACGCTTTACTGACTAATTATTTACGTGTTTGATGTCAAAGAAAATTGAGGAAGAAAAGAGAGAAAAAAGAAAGTAAGAAAATGTCATCAACATGATAACAGATGGTGATTTTTATAAAGTGTA